CTCTAGTTTATTTTAATTTATTTATGTTTATCATCTCTAGTTTATTTTAATTAACGTCTCAATTCGGTGGAGCCTGTAACTCTTGTGAAGTTGAGGTATGGTAGAAGTGAGCAATCTCGGTCGGAAGAGTAACCTCACAGACTTTGCTGGACATCGTTTGTTGCCCTCACCAACTCGAACTGCGTCGCTGTCAACTCCTCTGGATCAGATCACTTTCTCATGAAACGGCGCACGACCGAATTATCTTCCTGCACAGCTATGACGCCCCCCGCCGAGAGGATTGGTACGCGTCCTTACAACTATCGAAAACAAAAAAAATCACAGCGCAGCCAGGTTAGGGGGACGGGGTCTGTGGCACGCCTGGAACCAGAAAACTGGCAACCGAACATTATTTGTCCGGCAAATATGACCCCCATCGAAAATGATTCGTCAAAGACTCTTCGACGCACGTTCGACCTTGGCAAAAACCCTTCTTGCGAAAAAAATTGATTATCCACCCTCGAGCTCATTCCCTTCTAGCTTTGGACAAAAACTCTCACTCATGGCTAATATCGTTTCTCCGCATTATCTTCGCATCAAATGTCGTCCATTACAAAAAAAATCCGCTATTCAGCTTGAGAGGGGCATTTTGCACTTTCGCTAGATCCTTTTCTTCATGTTAATCAAAAGGTCTCAATTAGGTGAAACCTGTGAACTCTTGTGAAGCTGCATGATGCTACAAGTGAGCAACTTTGGTAACAAAAGCTCACAAGTTTTCATGATAAGGACTCTACAAACGTTGCTGAGTACCGTTTGTTGCCCCCACCAAGCCAAACTGCCCCAAAAAATTGAAGAAATGGCGTAAAAACCAAACTCGAAGTTTTCCCTTTTACAGGAGGTTACAAGACGTAACAAAGGGATGGCATGCTGCAGTAATCAACAAAATGTCCCACCACTGTTAGTTTTTAGAACTACAGTAAGAAACCAACCTTGGAGTAGTTTCCAGGAACTATGATCAACCAATAATGAGATATTGGTCCATATTCCTCGGACGCAGGCCTCAGTTTGATCACAACTTGACCTGGTCGACCACCCATTCCATTCGAGATTACCTCGTCCAACTCGGGAGGGAAAACGAACGGAGGACCCGTGGGATCGGTGACAATCACAACCTTGAATGAACACTCTCAGGCTTTTCAAGGTAAAGAAGGTCCGAATAAAAGAACGCACTTCCTTGGGCCAATATTGGCGAGCACCTGGCGGAAGAGTCCGGACACCCACATGGAACGTATATTGCATGTATGGGCGAAGATTTGTCCAGCTAAAATAGGAAAACTTCTCTAAATTCAGCACCGCCAGAGAAATCCAGGCTGGGTAAACCTAGCCAGGTAAACTTACAGATATTCCCGACTGCCCTCATCCAATTCATGCTTAAATCCAGGTGTTGTCATGCTTTTCATCGCTAACGTATGATCGAAGTACTCCTTCTTTCCCGTATGGTTCAAATAAAACCCGACATGAACTGGGCCGTTGTAATCCCACCTGAAACGACGCAGAGATTAATGAAAGAGGAATCAATTAGTCTAAGTGAGCGTCTCGCAGTGCAACCATTAACCTCAGCTTAACCGAATTACTCGTCTTCCATTCCACCACGAGATTCTGCACCATATACGTGGGTGTGAGCCTTTCAAGTAACGTTGGTGGATCCGAACACGCTCCTTGACGCTGAAAAACAAACAGCATAAAAAACGCAATTAAAATCAAATTTTCAAAGTGTCAGCTGGAACTTGTTTGTCATGACAACCCCCGTTTATCACCGCAGTTCTCGATCAATTTAGTTATCGCAAGGATGTGAAGTTACAGTTTTGTTGGCGTTGTTCGGCTTGGGAGGGGCATTTTTGCACGTTTGCTAGTTCCTGTTGAAGTACACGTCAAACCTTCGCCGTACTGTTCGCGTTGGATTTTTGAGCGTGTCAGGCGGGGGGCGAGTTGGGTTTGGCGCGACGCCAGCACGCTCTTCACCCAGCCTCAGCGTTGTTTCCCTATTCAACAACTGCAGGTGAACGGGCTGGGGCCTACCAGTCCCGTTCCCTACCCCCCTTAAAACGCCTCAGCACCCGCAGCGGACAAATCTAGATTGGGGGCGAAAAGCTTGGTCATAAACAGAAGCTGGAACCCTGGATCTCATGGTCATCAGGATAGCCTGGTAATCTCTGTACTACAGAGATCTCCTTGTACACTCTCTCCTCAAGGGCTTTTCATCAGTAGTCAATGAAAATACTGATAATTAGTGAAAGGCAAGGAAGGTGTAATGGGGAACGGCGCTGCTTCCCATGAAAATGATTGGGATCAGATAATCTCGCCTCTAACCCAAGATAAAAAGAGAAAAAAGAAGCAGCTGACTCTTCCTCCCTTCTGTGGTATACTGAATCGGTTTGTAAGGAAAACAGGCTTCAGCTGGTTCATCGGATATTCCGCGCAAGTGGATGAATAGGCAAAAACGCAGCGCGGTTCAGCTGGGGGGAGGTCATTGTGCACTCGTACTACCCCACCGTCATGTCAAGCCATCATGTAGACATATGTGGAATCAGGTGAAGTCATGAAGTGATACCAGACAGTGTTCTGGAGACCACTGGTCAAATCTCGTAAAGAATACCTGTCAACTCCTGCAATGCAGCGAGCGCGACAATGGGAAGTAGCACGCGCTCACAAGCCCCCCCCCTCCACAGTGCTGGTATGAGGGACCCGCGGCTTTCGGGTTGCGTTCGATATGCGTTTAAACCTTCAAACTCACTGCGATTCTGTACCGAAATGCGTGTAACATCTCTCATAGGTATTGATCAATGCAAAAGTTTTCATTGCCTTTCAACCAACGAAAAAACACTGTGAAAACCCTGCCACGGAGTGCTAATCTAGTGCTGACGCAATTCGAAGAAGTGATCGCTTTTCTTGTACGAAACTAATTTTCAGCAAGAAAATTCAATCAACGACGAGTGTGCTGAAGAACGTACACAACGTGTCGTGTCGAATCCAGTAGAAGATAAAAGCTTCGGAGTTAATCGAAACGCGAGAGACCTCCCGGATGAAAGTTCGCTATGGAAGTCAGCAAAAGTGGGAGCTATCAGAAAAAAAAAGTGAACGGTTTCATAAATATCACCGAGAACCGGGAGATGCTCAGTTTACCTACTTAGCTCTCCCGGGGCACTCATTTCTGGCGACTGAAGAGGGAGCAAAAGTTGCCTTATCAAGTCAAGACCTGTTTGGGATGAGCCGCACATTCTACGGTGCAGTTGGGCTGGGTGGGGCATTTTGTTTCCCAACGAGGCGGAGCGGGGGGGGCATTTTGTATTATAATTGCTTCCCTGGTTCCGGTTTTACAAATCTCACTCTGGTAAAACTTGTGAACGCTTGTGAAGCTGGAGCAAGATCGTCTAGCCACCATCCTAAAACGTGTCAACTCGAAAAAAGGGTACCTAGATGGGTTGGCAAATCTATGAAAAGCAGAATGCCCCCCCCCGTCGATAAACAGCGCCCGCTAACCTGTTCCAGCCATCGTTAAACTATGGAATAGCAGAGGGTTCGTTCACTTTTGCGATAGTCTCTGCAGGTCTCACCAAGATGTAACTCGTAATTCAACGGAAACTAGCACAAAAGCTATCAGTGATGGAAATTGCCCCTCCCAAGCCAATCAACGCCCATTCTAATGCCACCCATTCTGGATGCTTTCTCATTTCGCACCTTGTACGTTGCATCACCTGCGAGGACGGCCCTGTGTGCAGTATTTTTGTTCTCACAAACGAATTATGGTACCCATAGCCAGACTCGAAGGGATGGGAAGCTTGGCTGGGCAGGGCGATTGGACCTCCGAATTCATTGTGTAGAAAGCGGCACCACTTGGTACTACATCACTTATACCCGCGGAGATTACAGCAGTTTTGATAGAAGCACTACGGAAGCTATTCAGTCATACCGAGGACTACTTTTCGAGGGCAAAAGACAGAGCTTATATAGTGGCACAGCGTTTCGCGCCTGATAGGTCTTTTTAATGAGCCTGAGAATCCAGCAAAATCGCCCTCAGCGAAGCCTTTAAACTCCCACAATTCAATACTAATGCCCTGGTTTCAAGAACGACAGACATGGAAAAATCTACCGAATCTTCTGGAAATCTCGCCGGTGCTCCAGTTCAACTCATAATCAGGAAGGTTTACCCATGCATTTGGGTCCACACAATGAGTTCCATGAGCCAACAGAGGATTAAGCCAGTGTAGCGGCACCAGTAAGTAATCGTGCTCCTCCGATCTTCGTTTGAATCCCACTTCTAGCAGATTAATAGGTAGCACCCACTTACCATCAGATAGGGAGGAGGTTACTAGTGAGAAAAGGTGCCACTAACAACCTCCTCCCTATCTGATGGTACCTCCTAACTTGTCACGAAGGCGACGTGGGGAAGACCTCCCGGAACGGCTCCTCAAGCCTCCCATGTTCGCGCGGAAGGTAGATTGATACCATATTTGTGTGGTAGGACAATAACGCTAATTCTACTCGGGCTAGCCACTACAGTAAGTGCCACTACGTCCAAGTGCAAGAAGAATGCGTGATGGATAGTGAAAAGGAACTGAACGAAGTCAAAAGCTTCATCCGCTACTCAGTGAGGCATATCTTTCGCACTTCTCTTAACAAAAAGACGTTCTTACGAACGAAATTCTTCCTCACGGAATCGACATCTATCGGTCAAATATCCCGAATAACCTCCTATATTGTTTCAAAAATTGTTCTACCCATCAATAACGAGTATAGGTGGGTAACGTTGCCATGCCTCTCCGGTGAATCATCTTACTCTTGGAAGGCAATGGACGTGAGAGTTGGTCCAACAAGTATCGATCCACTTAACACCTCGTTAGAACAGAGTAACCAAATAACGAAGGCGAACACAAGAAACACGGAACATGGGATTGTTCCGTAGAGAAACTCTAAAAGCTTCTTTGAATCCTAGGCAAATTAAAAGCCATTTAAATATCAAATCACCCTAAGAAGGCCGATCTGGATACAGTTGCTTAGCAGAACCTTTTCCTTCTTCCGCTTTGAGGAAGATTAGACGATTAACTGAATCGTATAGATCCTAACTAGTCCAGAGCACCTAGTCTCAGAGGGATGTCCCACACTTTCCCGGCTCAATAAGAGCGCTGAAGCAATCACTAGTCAAGTGAACGCCGCCCCTTAGAGTTGCTCCACCCATTCGGGGTAAGATATGGCATTGGACACATTAGGATGTAAATAAAATCAACAGCTACATGTAATATGACACCGTCTGTAGAGCAACACAGCGCTTTTCGGCTTGATGGGAGCACTAAATGGTTTGTAGCGAGGCTAGTTCAGGCCTGTGAATTCCGATAACTAAAGGAGCTCATCTGTACAATTTTGCAGCTTCACAGCAGTGCTGGTCTCACCGAGGCCGTGACGAGGAACTAGCAAAAGGATCAAGCAAAAGCGTGAAATGCCTCTCCCAGGCCAAACAGCGCCCAGCTGCGCATCCATATACATAACCTGTTGATACACAATAATGAGCAAGGCTCATTTTTGCGTGGGATCATCTCCGTAGTATTCCCAGCTCTCTCTCTCTCTCTCTCTCTCACTCTCTTTATTCTGGCCTCTTGCCTATGCAACAGTGGCCACTAAAAGGCTCCACCTTCAAAGGGTGTCTTCGACGATTTTGAAGTGCATTTAAATGGCATTCCTGGCAGAACTGTGAGCAAAAAACCCAACGCCCTTTTATTTCCATTACCACGTATGGAGTACTGAGAGAGATTCATTTCGACATATTACGCCTGAGGAGTAAATGGCGTGAAAGTGCGTACTTTTGGTCAATCATGTGAAGAACAGTAATTACTATGCACTTTCGATTTCTTTTTTCAATTTCTAGTACTGAGCCGCTGATCCATAAAGTTCAATCTGCTTGGTTTTTAGATCATTATAAAACTGCTTCCTCGCCACAACTACTTGGAAAACCGAGAAAATGACATCAATTGAAACATTCTCACTCGACAAGTACGTGAATTTTATATGAGCGAAACGCAATTACCTTTTAAAGGGCAGCAATTTCTTGGAAAAATTCAACTCTCGCTTGGATAATCGCGCAAAAAAACCGAAAAGTGGCGCTAAATGCGCTTGGAACTTACATTATTCTTAATGGCCAGAACACAGAACGCGTAAGGTTTGTGAGCTGTGAGATGAGGAACTTCAAGATGTCGCGACGTCGGGCTCATCACTGTTCGGGCTGTCCATCTTTCAGTATCTGATCGCCCTCCCGGCTCATGCATGTACTTCACGACAAAGCCATCAACCTGAAATCGACCTTTATGAGAACGGGTTTGGGAAGTTTGAGGTCAGGGCGCATAATTGGTGAAAAACCCTGATGAGGAAGGGACGTGGGTTGTACTTGACGCGGTGGGCAGTTTCCTGTCGCTGATTCACCCCTTCCAGTTGATCTAGATACCCTGTGAACCCTTCAATCGGCGCTGCTTTTTTGCTACTTCTAATCAGGGCATGTCCTGCAGCTGTGAAGAAATTTCGTAAAGTAAGGCCCCCCTCACAGTTCCCCCTTGTGGCGCGACCTTCCCCCCTTTCTTGTCCCCTCTGAACTCTCCCTGAATTCTTCCAAGTACCCATTACTTTTTCGTAGTTTTGGCTAAGAATCCCTCTACTTCTCCACTCTACTCCTCAAGAAAAAACTCGTCAAGCGGTGCCAGGGTAAGTTGGGGAGGGGGGGCAGGTAGGGAGGTAGCGCACGTGAAAAAAAAACAAAAAAAAATCTTCAAAGCAAACACGACCATTTCTACCTCCATCGACCAAATACGACCCCCGCCTCACTGGGGATCCCCAACGACGTCCCCTGCTTCTGATAGCTGATCGGATGTCTGCTCCATGTCCTCTCTCTCTCCCTCCCGCCCACCCCCCCACTACACCGAAAGCCGTGGAAGGAAGGTGGGAGACGCAGGTTTTCCTTATAGAAATGATGTGCCTTGGGGCAGCGACGCGGTCCAAACTGGTAAAACAAATAAAGCAAGAGTATTTGGTACCAAAAAACCTAATTCTACCCCAAAAAATAAAATCACCTGTCCATTTTCAAAGTCCCATTGCACCACGGCCGAGCTGTTCGACGTGGCTTCAACACGAACATTTGTTGGAGGTCCGACCAGAGCTGAAATAATCAGATGTCAGCAAAATTCTCTAAGAAAATAAGTATAAACCCTGAAAGGATAAGCTGATTTCTAAAATTATTGCCTGGTCCCAAAAGTGTATTGATAACAGCCGAGAAAATGCTTTCGCGGCTATAGACTGGCGTTCGACGAACAGCGGACTCTGAATAGGCCCGGCTAGTTTTCTTCTTTTGTTTCGCAGTAAAAGCGACATCGTTGCGACGGGAAAGTTCAATGTCAAGGCTCGTTTCAGCCTCTGTTCGGTCGTTACCTTCGCCAGAAAGCACATTATCTCGCATAAAATCGCTTTCCAAAAAAGGTAAGAGCTGTCGTGAACGAGTTTTACTGAGTTTCGTGACATTCCGAGTGACAGCAGACGAATTGGGTGAGCTTTCTAGTGAAAACTGAGCGACGATATTGGAGACGTTTGTAATTAGTAGACAGATTGATAGTAAACGTGAACGCATTCCTTAGACGACGTTCATAATATGTTGAAGAGTGGTGGACAATTTCAATAGAGGGCAGCCGCACATACCAATGAATATAGCTAAGCTCTTGTCTCAATAGCTCAGATAATAGCCGGCTGAGCGGAAACCACGTAAAGGTACTCGGCGGCTAAAACTGAAATAACTACCCTCATGAGGGCTAGCCAGTAACAGCAGCAGCTTGAGCTGTTCGTTCTAAACAAGTTGACCAGGCAGAGAATACGTAATATTGACTTTGGACATGCTTTTAGATGGCGACATCCATCAGGAGGTGAACCTCGCGCTATGTTTCAAGGACATCGCGCTTGACTAGCCGTCATTTGAAGTGCTTACGTGCAAGCATTAGACAGACGAATTACTACGTAATCCGCAATCAAGAAAGAGCGAAAATGAGAAAAAGCCTACTTGAAATCTTCGATAGAAACCAAGCAGTAGATGAAAAGGGCAATGTGACGTCGATGACCATAGGACGTTCAGTGGACGTAGTTGACGGTAGCATATTATGTGAATTACTTGTATGTGGCAATGAAATACCCCTCATTATGGGGATGTCTAAAGGACCAGGTGCTTTGTTGACGATCGCATCAAAGACATCAGCGCTAGAAATAGCGCTTTCTGCTGTCGCCATTGTTGAGACCAGGCCGTTGTTGCTGATAGTCACTGTGACTTCCTCCAAAATGATCGAGTGCGCTGAAGCGAGCGACTTTTCTAAATTGCAATTTACGAGCCACTAATGAGAGTTGGAGGAACACACACACGCTACCCCATTGAACCACGGGATAACGGGTAATGAGCGTCGTGTGCATGCCTTCGCTCTCATAAGCCCAACAAACGTGCCTTGTGAAGTGCCTGTGGCTCCCAGACGGCTGCTTCGAAGCTTCTGGAAACGCTGTTTTTGTTGTTTTTGTTTTTCTACTACAAGCGTTTGAGGACGAGCCCTAGTCTGGCGTCGTATCCTCTTCACAGACAATGAATTTATATGCATGAATAGTGAATCGAAAGAGCAGAGACGTCGTCGAGAGGAGGCGGCAATAGTGATGACCTGAGTGTTTTCATCAGATAGATGACACTCGATTTCACGACATTGTCTGCGTAGGAAATGCTAGGCGGGACGGGTGAACGACGAAAATTAGATGGAAGGCCTCAATTTCGGGCAATGGGCTCAGGATTAATTCAATTCACTAATGTACGAGGACACACTGGCAGAAGCATAGCACGGCAGTAGCACAGCCGAATCCGAGAGAGCGAGAGAGAGCACCGATGCGACGATGGCTCGTTACCGCTGCTGCCCAAGTCAGCGTCAGCAGTCAGCAATTCACAAAAAACTCAACGACAAAGATTATACGTGGAACCTGCCGGCTTGTTAAACACATTTAACTCCGGAAAACGATGTCATTTCGTGAATCATATCGATAGTGGACTGCCAATTAGACGTGAGATGATCCTGACAGGTAACCAGTTGTCAGGGAGATGGGGAATATTGATGGTGGTCGAAAGCAATCTGTACGGGCCCTTAGATGTAGACCCAGCAAAGACATTGTCTAAAACAAAGCATCGTTGAGAGAGCTCTTTCAAGGGGGGGGGGTCGTCTTGGGTCGCTCGCAAGGAAAGGGGGGGGGCAGCCGCTGGAGTTTTTTCGAGCGGGCATAAAAATTTATCAGTTGCTGACTTTCCAGCATTTTCTCTTTTCATATGCGCTATGTATTGGTTCGGCTCCGTCACAAAGGCACAGAGCACCACTCGCTGTGAGTTCAGTATTGGCCGCTCAACCGCTAAACTTCCTCTCCTCACAAGATCCCCCCAGCTTCTACACTCCTTGGACACTTGAATTCTTCTAGTTCTCTAACGACTTTTCGAGAGTTTCTCCGGAAACTTCCGAGAAGTTTTCAGTGGGGAGTTCCACACTTTTCTCAGGAAACTGGCGTAGAAGGGTGGCGGGAACAGCTCGCGAAACAGGAAAATCGAGGAAAGCCAACAAACAAAAGCATCTTTCTTAGGGGTGCGACCGACGAAAAAAAGTGGCAGAAAGTGGGGAAAACTTAGGAAGCTAGTAGGCAAGTTAGTGGAGGGGGTCGCAAGCAATAAGGAAATTGGGAGAGAGGGAAAGGGCGAGCGGGGGGGGGGGGAAGGTGGTTGCAATGACTCTTCATTTCACGAAGTTCTTGTCCACCTATGCCTCGCTAACTTTTTTCCATCGCTTTCTGGGTCCTTACTTTGCCGACATTTTCACAAGAAAAATTTCGAGTCATCTCCGAAAAAGGGACGTTCAGTGGGGGAGGAGGGGGGGGGCATCATTCAATCGCCGGTCAAGTACTGACTTCGTCTATCAGCATTTGTATACACGGAACATCGTTAACTGAGCACAATCAGCAAAAGGTTGTATGTTGTTTGTCGCTTTAGGAAAATGATTTTTTTTGAGTAGATTCGAATTTTTCTGAGAAATCGCGAGAAAGCTGCAGAAAGAGGGGAAAAGTTAGAAGGAGAGTAGGCAGGATAGGAAGGGAAGGGGGGAGGAGGAGGAGGGGGGGGGGTCACACTGACACAGCCGTCTCACACATCATAATGCTGTATCCTAGCTCAAAAACCAGTCACACTCCTGAGCATCCGAGAAAGTCACCAAAAGGACAACAAACATGAAAACTAGAGTGCAGCGGAAGTCGTTCGGTGCTATACGAGCGCTCACCTGACATGAAACTGCATATTTTGTTGGTAACATTGTCGAATTTCGACCAGGCTTGTTTTACACCATCCGTATTCGATACATGATATTTCCATCCAGATGCAATATAGTTTAGAAGTCCTTCCAGATTATTTATAATACCATCTTTACAAATTACTGGTGAAATATGTCCATCAAGTGGATCTCTAGTTGTGGTGACGTCACCGTCATCATTTTCGTTCACCACTGCTTCTCCAGAAATCGAATCGTCCATGACACAATGGGGTAAAAGCGATTATACAGTAGAGCTGTTTCGCATCGCTTCCGAATCCTTTCGTTTTCGGAGACGTTGCTTATGATACTAGAATAGTTATAAAAAATATCAATATTTTAATTAACGGTACAGGTAGATGATATCTCGTAAACGAGTGAAAGAGTGAAGTGAAGCAAACGGAACGGAAGGGGCAGAAGCAGATAATGGTGCGACTGAATCCGCTCACCTATGAAAAGCCTCTATTTACAGCATAATGACTGAATACAACTAATCGCGCAGTCAACTTGCACCACAACTAGCTAGCCATACCTAGTCCAGGACGATTAGCCAAACCCGTCCAGGACTATTATAGACACCCCCTACTGTGTGAGCCCTGATGCCATGGAAAAAGTACTATCGAAACTGAACTGCTCGAAAATAATGCTCTAACTGGTCTGCCTAGGGGCACTCATGACGAGGTATTGCCTTTGGCAGTTATGAAGAAATATTGCCTTTTCCTCCACCAAAAACCCTCCCTTTTGAGGCAACATTATGTTTGAAAGAACGTGCCAGGAAAAATGCTCCACAATAATGGACTTGATAGTTATGATTGGTGTCTTGGGGCACAAATAAAGGGTTATTGACTTTTTTACGTCCCCCAATCCACATTCTCTTCAATAATAATGTGGGCGCAGAAGTGGCGCAAACGCTTTCGTTGCGCTAAACAAGTGAAATGGGGTTGAATTTTGGGACGGAGTTGACGGCAGGGAGAGAGGAGGGGTGGGGGGGATTTCGCACCTCTGCTGCTTCACATTGTCGTGTCGAGCCATCGGGCTGGCAGCCTCCAAGAGGTGGGGGAGGGAACGGAACGGGCGACGACACGATCGCGACTCCGGGGTAGCTAACCTACTTGTCTAGCTGAATGCGAGAACCACTTTTTGCACAGGAAAGTGCAAAAAGCCTAGAAGTAAGCTCCTGGGTACACGCACTCAGGTGCTCACTCCTTCAGCTTGGACGATCCCCCCCCCTCCGACCCAATTTTTTCTCGACATGCCATCCATTGTTTTCGGACTTTTTCCAGCGATACAACTCGTTCAACTATGAAAAAAAGCGCAGTTTGGCGACGGGGAGGGGGGCATTCTGCATTTTTGCTGTCGACCCATATAGAGC